CAAAACACCAAAATTATTACATTAAGATTATCCAAACAAAAGGAAAAATCATGAAATAAAAGAACCAAGGATCAAATTCTCCCCAAATAAATAAGACAAACATCATGAAATAAACATAAGAATAATAAAAAAATAAAAAAAAATTAAGAAACAAATTTTTTTTTTAACACCACATACCTCATCAAATCATATCATAGATAGAGAGAGAGAGAGTAGATCCATGACAGTGCCAATGAAACGTGGATGAACCATTTCCCAACTCAAAACTGTACTTTCACAAATCTCGCATTCTCTCAAAAAAAAAAAAAAACTCAAAATTGTAATAAAACAAACTCCAGAATCCATTATATTCACAAAAGTATTAAGAAAAAATCTTAATTTTTCAAGTACACAGCACCTATCAATGAGCTAAGAGTGAAGTTGATCCTTATTCACAAAAATATTAAGAAAAATCCGGATTTTTCATGTAAAGTCAGCAGCTATCAATGAATGAAGAGAGTAGAAGCCTGAAACTGAACTTTAATGTATCCGAAACTAAGCCTCGATGTATCAGGTCGCAGAGATAGAGAGAGAGAGAGATGTATCAGGTCGCAGAGAGAGAGAGAGAGGCTCAGCCATGAATTCATTCTCCATCCATTGAAGAGTTTAATTACCTGCAATGTTGAAAGAAAGTTTAGAAGTACTCCTTAATTTTATTCGGAAAAAAAAAAAAGGATCAAGAGAGTTCAGAAAATCTATTAAACCTTATTCCTTAATTCTATTGGGAAATGAAAAAGGATAAGAGATCGAATAAGTTCACAAAATTTACTAAACCTTGTGTAAGGACAAGTTTTGCTCCATATACCTTTAGACTGAGAATCTTTTAGTATTTTAGTAATAATCCAAACACCAAAATTATTACATTAAGATTATCCAAACAAAAGGAAAAATCATGAAATAAAAGAACCAAGGATCAAATTCTCCCCAAATAAATAAGACAAACATCATGAAATAAACATAAGAATAATAAAAAAATAAAAAAAATTAAGAAACAAATTTTTTTTTTAACACCACATACCTCATCAAATCAATTTTGCTCAAAGAGTCCCATGACCACCATCCCTATCCTTGCTCAAATTCAAGGAAAGGGCCTCAAGCCCACTCAAAATATTATCAATTTGAGCCCCATCTTCAAATTTAAGGCTAGCACATATTGCCTTAAGTCTAGCAAAGACATCTTCAAGGTGTGCATAAATCACAATAGAGAAACAGACTGAAGGCCCAAGCATTGAACAAGGCCAACAATGAATTCACATACTCATCAATTTCTTTTAGTGAAGAGGCCATTAGGGTTTGGTGTTGGCCCCTAGAGAGAGAGAGAGAGAGAGAGTCAAAAGAGGCTTGGCCATGGTTTGGGAGGGGATTTGAAGAACCCCACAATTTGATTGGGCCTTCAAGAGAAAGACTTCATTAGGGAAGGTTTGGAGTTTCTCCAAGATGTTCTCAACCATCAACATTTTCTTTCCAAAAATTGTTTCTAGAGAGAGAAAGAGAGTCCAAAAATTGTTTTTGGAGAGACATGAAGAAAATAAGACTAGAGAGGGGGAGAGAGATCTAAAATAAAACTGGAGGGGGTAGAGAGGAAAGGGGGAGCTAAATATAACTAGAGAGTGAAAGTAAATATAGATGGACAGATAGGGAGAGATGGAGTTAAATATAACTAGTTTCATTCGGAGAGAGAGATAAGGATCAAGAAAGAATCAGGAAGATAGAATTTTAGAAATTTACATATGATTCAAGAAAGAAAGAAAATGTAGAGAGAGAAAGTCAAGTATGGATCAAGAAATATGGGAAGCTATAGAGAGAAAAACTTGAATAAGGATCAAGAAAGTAAATTGCCAGAATAGGAAAGCAATCCCATGTTTATCACCGTAATACCTTTGATTTAATACATGAGTTAGCTTCTTTGTAGGGATAAATAGAGCAACCTTCAACATATCTAAATGATTTAGATATATGACCCAGCGGAGCATGCTGTCTATTTATTGTTTAGAATCCTAACTAACCTCTAACCTAAAAAAGGGCAAGATATACTGCTGCCAAAAATTTTGGTACAAGGAGGTCCCGAGTACCTTAGCCATCATATGTGAAATCGAATGGTGCGTCATACATGTTGAGATTTTTCTTTTCTTTTATTTTTATTTTTCCCGATTTTTGTGCCCAATCCATCACACCAATCCCGATTTCACATCTAAAATAGTCAAATAGTCAATAATGATTATAGCTTGTGCTTAAAATAATCTATCTTATTATACATATTTTTTCTTTCTTAAAAAAAAATACATGCAAGATAATCACCCGATTCTCTAACCCGGAATGTTGATTCTGACAAAACGACATCAGTCATTGCAGAATTGGGTTGTTCCCTCCAAGTTGGACTGGGTCGGTCCCCCACCAAATCTGAAAGCGAATTTTAAACCCAAGTAAAATAGCACACTAATAAAACTTCATGATGTCCTTTGTTTTGTATAATGAAACAAGATGGGGAGCATAGTTATAAAGATCGTACCGCATTAACTAGTCAGTCCATCCGACCAGTTGGGGCCTGTGGTCCAGGGCCTCATCTAGTCTTGTTTAAAGTTAAAAAATGATTTGATTGAAAACCACTCAAAATTCAGTGTATGACTAGTTTTGACTGTTGGACCTTCCAGTTTTCACAATTCTGACAAACGTACAAAGTTAATAAACTTATTTCTAATATATTTTATATTTTTAAAGAGTTAGCATGGTTCTCTAGAAAAGTACTCACATGGGTGTGGGACTTGACTTTTTTATAGATCCGTGTCAAATTTAATGGTGATTCTTTCGGGACCTACACATGGGTGGGAGAGGGTTGTATAGGACCATTTCTCATTTTTAAATTATTATTCTTACTTTTATATTTTTTAAAAAACTTATAACCGGTTTGGACAAGCACCTTCACCCTAGTTTGGTAACCTAATCTGATCTTGGTAACAATGGTTGAGAGAGTTAGCTTAAACAGTTACCCAATTAGCCACCGACTGGTTCCATTACTGAGCATTTTGTTATAGGATTGTATACTATGAGACCATTTATCTTTCTTAGAAGGAAGTCACAATTATTCCTAGCCATTAGATGTCGAATTGGATGGCTTGGATGTGTCTTGAATTTCGAGATATTTTCATATGCTTATAACCACTCGATTTGAAATCTAAAGGACAAGAGGATTGTGACCTCCTTGTGTTAAAAGTAAATGGTCTGGTTATATACTTTCCCTTTTGTAATCACATGGTACAAATAATGCATTTTGAGCTCTTTTCAAACATAACCTAGATTTGTATATTTAACATATAGGTTAATTTTCTATTTCTTGGTTCAATGTGACAGTAATCCATGAAACATGAACTCTATTTTTCTTGACTAATATCATCAGCCAGGAGGAGAATAGATAAGCTAGGTTAACAACTTGGTGAATTTTTGTCATGCTGGTTATTGCTCCCCTTCTGTGATATCCTACAAAGCATAATATACAATCCCTTGCTCTAAGAAGGATGCAATGCCCAGAGAAATGGGTGTTCTCTTAATTAGGACTGAGATGGATGCCTAAATAGTGGTTAACTGCTTACTACAATGTAAGCTTTGGGTTGGTTAGTTCCATTTGAAGAATCAAAAACCTAAAGTTTTAAAAAGATTAATTAGCCTTGTGGCTGCTCAGATAGCCATTGTCATATGACATTCTAGGCAATTGGATTTTAATCAATTTTCCTTAAGGATGGTTTTCACATACTGGTAACTTGTTATTTCATTATTTATGTTAGTATTCATTATTTCGTTTTATTCTGGATTTATTGCACTAAATATAGAATTTGGTTGTAGTATTTTTATTGCTAGCAAGGGGTGGAAACCCTAATTCCATATCAAACTTCTAAATAAGAAGACAAAAGATCTAATTTAACATAATGAATTAAAAGTAGGAAGGCAAACACAGGTAAAGAATGAACCTCATCTCATAAATTTGAAAATTATTATTAAAAAAAATTGAGAGGTCATTTATCTTTTATATCACAATCACTCAATTCTTTCTTTTAAAACTCTGAATGCAACTAATAGCACAACACTGCCCAATGTCATACCTAACTGGAATAATAATCTGCGTGTACCAAAAGTAAATGCCCCTTATTACATCATCATCATCATCATCATCATCATAGTCTTTTCCCAATTACTTGGGATAGGCCTCTTATTACATATTTTTTATTAAAAAATGAAAAAAAAGAAGAAGAGCAAAGCCATAAATCAAGAAAGGATTTTCTCAAAAAAACATAGTAATAATAATAAACAAAGGGGATGGGATGGCACTTACCACACTTTTAGTCCTTCAAATTTAGGGAAAGAGACTCAAGGCCACCGACAATATCCCTATCAACATTTAGAGAGAGAGAGATTGAAACCCACCAACAATGTTCTCAATTTGTTGCATTCTCTTACTAGGAGGGAAGGAACAGATGAAAGGAGCAATCCTATTGATATGCACCTTAAACAACTCTCTATCCCTTGGTGTAGGTTTCTCATGGCATCTTACAATGTCATCAAATAAGGCCAATAATGAAGTCACATTATGATTAATCCATGCCAAAAGGGAATTCATATTGTTTTCATACGAGGCAATGGCTTCTAGGGTTACCTCTGATTTTAGGGTTACCCCACTTTCTATATGGGTCCTGAGGAAAGAGAGTTCAGCATAAGAGCCTTGGATATCACTCAAAGCCCTGTGGGCAGGTGCCATTATTTGTTCCCAACAATGAGTAAGGTCTTCTTCGTCCTTCATGATACACACTTTGTGAGGTAAGTGTTCGATTCTCTTCAAAACATCCTCAACACTCAGTGGCATTTTCAAGATCCAAAATTGCTTCACAGAGACAGAAATAAATAAATAAATAAATAAGAGAGAAATAAAAAACAAAAACATCAGGAGGAGAGAGGGAGAGAAGGATCAAGAAAGTATCAGGAAAGAGAATTTTAGAGATCTATATAATGGCTCAAGAAAGGGGAGGTAGAGAGAGATAGAGAGTCAGATAAGGATCAAGAAATATGGGAAACTAGATAGAGAAAGATTGAATAAGCATGAAACCCCATTTTTCTCGAGCGTTTGAAACGACCTTTGATTAGTGCTTCTTTGTAGGGAGGGGATTCTCGAGCGTTTGAAACGACCTTTGATCAGGGATTCGATCGATACAGTAACCTTCAAGCGTTTCTGAATGATTGTATGCTCCAGCAGGAGCATACTGTATATTTATTATCTAGAACGTTATCTAACCTCAAACTAAAAATATCAAGAAAAGTGTTAAAACCCCTAATAATATTACTAAAGGGATCACTAGATTACAAAGTTCCCATCAGGGTATGCTTTTAAATTTCTATATTAATAAAATACATCCTAACGAAAAATGTTAAAAACTACAAAATTACCTTGTTCGGTGTTGGAAAGGCCAAAGAGATATTTCGATAATTTTACCCTCAGGGCTTTAACCAAATAATAACCAAGGTCAAAATTACTGAAAGTATTCTTTTAACTCTTTGGCTTCCCAACATGAAACATGGGAAACTTGAAAACTTTTCTCTATTATTTGGGGGACGTACTTGTATATGGATTTAAAATAATTATGTTACCTTTTGGCCTCCCTAGTCATCTGCAGTGGGTTTCAAACCTTTTTTTGATTTTTCCCTTTATTTTTTGGATCGTCAAACATAAAATCTTCATCGATATCAAATTCCATATTTAATTTTAAATTAATTGATAGCAAAAGGGATTTAAATTTCAAACTAACACATGAAACATGAAAAAATTCTCACATAGTTAGGCGTAGGAATGTTTTCACACCAATTGATTCTATTGTATGATATGAACTATTTTTAGAGTTTGAAATCGTAATTTGTTTTACAACCATAATGTTTAAGTCGAGATGATCGATATAAAGATTTTTTAATACTTTAACTACAATTTTCGATGAGTTATAAAGTGAGGATTTACTTATTTGTACTATCAAACATTTTTTCATTTTATAATAGGAAAATGGCTTGATAGGGCTTCGGCCCTATCAAAATAAGCAAAGACTAACTTCATAACTCATCCAAAAACACAATTCAAGCATGAAAAAACTTTCATATCAATCATCTGGACTTCAACATTATGGTTGTGAAAAAAAATAGGATTTCAAGTTCTAAAAATAGTGTATATTGTTATAAATTATCTAGACCGTCCGTTTTACTGTAAAAATAAATATTCACATATATATAAGATCTGTAGTATTTTTTAGTTTCAAATTGTATTGCTAGTGTTAGACTAATTTTATAGCCTTTATTGAGATTTCCTTTGCCGAAAGTGTTTTCGGGATGAGGATTGGAGGTGAGGCACAAGTTTGTTTCCATAAAGCCCAGGCCTTATATAAGCCTCATCTTTTATAAAGAGTTATGAGCGTAGATTTACCAATTAGCCTACCATCGTCGGCCGTCAATTCCATCGCCCGTCCTACGATCTTAACCGTCCGTCCTTTCGAGCCGAATGATCACCCTTTGCACTACGCTTCAAGGGGTCATGGCTACACTCTCTCTCTACAAAGTTTACTCATGAAATCTTACCACTACTTTCTCACTCATCACCAACACAACAATGTGGCCTATCCCTCTGTTTGAAATTGAGTGAGAGAGAGAGTGCCTGCTTCTTCCTCTCTATTTGAAAGAAGACAGAGAGGAGAGAGAGAGATTCTCCTTCTCCATTTTAGAGAGAGAATGGTGGGGTGCTTGGGAGGAGAGAGAGAGGGTATACAGGCTGCAGCTTACTCGCGTTACAGCAAGTCACAGAGTACGGTTCTCGTTCTTTCTATTTCATTGTTGGGTTAAATGATTCTTGTGTTTTTGAGGTTTTGTATTCCTTAATGGTGTTATTTGTATTCGCCCCAGAGCTGGTTATCTTCTTCTAACCCTTCCAAATCATGGCTTCGACAAAAGCACAATCTCTCTCTAAACCCCACTATTTCATTTCTTTTGTCATTCCTCCCTCTCTTCATTCTTATGTTGAACAATTCTCCACAAAACCCCTTTCTCTCTCTTCATCTCCTTCTTCTCTCACTGAGGCTGCCATGACCTTAACTTCTTCCTCTCCTTCTTTCATGGTTAATCTGCTTATAGACTCTTTTGGGCTCTCAAAGCAATCCGCCATTGCCACATCTTCACAGTTTCTCCACCTCAAAACAGATGAGAAACCCCTGTCTGTTCTAACCTTCCTAAAAAACAATGGTTTCGAAGCAACCCACATCCATGACATTATCAGCAAGCGCCCTCGTTTCCTTGTAGCTGATGCTGAGAAAAACCTAAAACCCAAATTGAAATTGCTCGAAGATTTGGGTCTTTCTAAATTTGAACTTGGGGCCTTCATCTCTGCAAATCCATCTATTCTTACTTATAGCTTAAACAAAACGCTTCTCCCTAGAATTCTTTTCCTCAAAAGCTATTTGGGAACCGATGAAAATGTCTTAAGGTTTGTCAAATGTTGTAGTTTGCTATTGGTGTCTAATAGATTGCTGCCCAATATAAGGCACTTGGAGAGCCATGGAATTGGGGGCTTGAAGTTGAAATCACTCCTATTGCAAAGGCCGTATATGTTCAATCAGAAGCTCAGGAGGCTTAAAGAAATCACAGAAAAAGTTAAGGAATTGGGTATTGAATCTCACTCTAAAATGTACTCTCATGCTGTTGGATTCATGAGTGCAATGAGCAAGGAGACATGGCAGAGGAAATTTGTGTTCTTGAAGAGTTTTGGATGGTCAGAAGAAGATATTTGCACTGCTTTCCAAAAGAGGCCTGCAATCTTTTCTTTATCAGAAGAGAAGTTGCAAAAGAGTATGGATTATTTTGTTGATGAGCTTAAATATGATGAGAAATATCTGTGTTTTCATCCGCATATTTTCATTTACAGTTTAGAGAGAAGGTTGATCCCAAGGATTAATCTATTGAAAGTGTTGAGGTCAAGGGAATTGCTGAAAAAGGATGCCAATTTATCGTCAGTTAGTGTGTTATCGGAGAAGGTATTCTTGGAGAAGTATGTGCTAAGTTTCAGAGAAGAGGCAGAAAGTTTACTAAAATTTTATAAGGGAAACAAGGAAAACCCAAGAATTGGTGCTGAGTCTGCGGATCTAAAAAAAGGCTTCGTAACCATTAAAATCTGAACACCATGGCTCTTATTTTGTTTATTACTGAAAAAGAAGAATTTGTATGTCAAATTTCACTCTTTGGCATCTTTCTATTTTTTCTTTGCTGCTGCATTGCAGAATATGGGTTAGTAGATTATAAAAGGCTGCTAACCTCTACACAGATGCAAATTAGCAGGCTATAATTTTGGTTTTTTTCTGACCATATTACGGTTTTGTCTAGGATTTTGTATGTGTTTGTTTGTGCAGAAAGTCCACCCATTTGTTTCGATTTTCAAACTTTGGAGTGAAAATGCACTCCACCCTTCCCAAGTTATGACTTTCTGCCTTTGGCACAAAACATTGGTCACCCCTTTAGGGATGGAAGTATACCCTTGCGAGGGAAGTTGAAAACCCATTTCAGGGCAAAGGGGCTGCACTTTCTCTCTTATTTTGCAGCGAAGATTGCCCCTAGTGCGGAAAGTCAGCCCCCCAAGAGGCCTCATTTATGTCTGCTCTCTCTCTCTCTCATTTTGAATGGATGATTTCCCCCAAAATGAGAGCTGTTGGTTAAGAAGATTTTGTTGCTTCTTTTTATGCGAATACTCTCTCTCTCTCTCACATTTTGAATGCATGATTTCCCCCAAAATGAGAGCTGTTGGTTAATAAGATTTTGTTGCTTCTTTTTATGCGAATACTCTCTCTCTCTCAACTCCAAACTCGGATTCTCAACCAAATCCAACCACCTACTCCTCGTTACCCCTCATTGTGCTCTTCTCTTTGAAAGTTTCTTCGTTCTCGCTCTCTACTTCTTGGTTTTAGAAACTGGGTTGGGTTGGTTACATAAGAAACTATGGAATCTATTGATGGAGGCATCAGTTGTTAAGATAATAATTCAACAGGTAGCGGCTACTTTTGTTTTATTGCATGTGATCTAAATTAGCTGCTAAAATCTCATTCATGGGGTGGATTTCTTTTTCTTCAAAATTTTCATGTCCTCTTAAAATGCCTCTTTAATTGGGAAGCTGCCATTTCATTATTCCTTGGACCTTTTTTGATGATTCTTGCTTGGGTTGATTACCTGAGAAATTTTTTGAATTTAAGGATTGAGGCATCGATTGTGGAGAGAATAATTCAAGAAATGATTCTCTCAAAAAAAAAAATTTCAAGAAATGCATCGATATTTGTCATGGATTCTGCAATTCAAGAATTCAGTTGGTTCTAAAAATTTTGTTTGCTTTTAAAAATAGGGTTGGCTTGGAACTCTCTCTGCATATGACTTTTCATGTACTCTCCGGATGCTTGTTTAATGGAAAGTTGACATTTCTTGTGTTCCTCTGCTTCCTTGGAGCATTTGGAAGATAATGCTTGGGGCTTTATCAAAGCAATGTTTGGGAATCATTTCTGGAAACTCCTAGCCATTACTTTTCCATTAGGACATACTCAATCATCACTATGAACTGTGCAGATAGTTTAAACTGGCTGCCATCACAAAATTCCAGGCATCTTAATGAAGATTAAGAATATTTTGTCTTGGTTATTTTACCTCTGAGATCTGCTTTTTGTGGAAGTTATGCACTGAAATATTGGATCTCGTATTCGAAACTCTACTACAGTGGAAACTTGCATCATTCAGATCCGTCAATGACAGCGGAGGTGATGATTGATGAAACTAATCTGGTTGAAGGGTGCCTGTTGTTACAACTAATATTGGGGGCATCATTTGGCTACTAGTCAGTTTTCACATTTGTAGAGAAGCTACCTACTTCCTGAGATATATTACGCTTGGATGACCCCTAGATCCACTCCTCATCTGTTTCAAACCTTTATCCACTCACCTTGGTTGAAGGGGGGGAAGCTACTGTGGAAAGCATCCGTCTCTGCCACCCTTTGGTTCCTTCGGACTGAAAGGAACCAGAGAATCTTCAGGGGAAGGAGGTCCTCAGCAAGGCTTTTGGCAGATAAGGTCAGGAACCTTGTGGCCTTCTAGGCCACCATTAATCCTTTGTTCAAGGATGTGCCCTCCTCTTCGCCACCATTAATCCTTTGTTCAAGGATGTGCCCTCCTCTTCTCTTGGGTCACCTGACCTTTTGTAATTTTGGCCTTTTAATACAGTTAAATTTTCTCAAAAAAAAAAAAAACTTAGTTGTACATGAAAAATACTAGGTGGGAGGTCACCAAACGTTGGACCAACACACTAGTATGTATGCTTGTGGGGGGTCACCAAATCTTAGCTCTCCTTGGGCTTCAGCTGATGCCATAGCATTATCAAAGCCACCCTCCACTAATGACCTGAATATTTGCCTTCTCAGTGATGTGTTCCCAGAAACAATGCAAGGCTTTACCCCCAAATGAAATCCACTTTCTTTGTAGCCATAAGAAGTCCAAAATCCTTGAAACTCTATAGCAGCCTGCAAACTTGGCGTTTAATTTGGTGGTTTTGATCTATAAGGTGAGAAATGAAGATGGGATAGCCTAGAGGGAATATATTTTGCAGGTGATCAGGAACCCATCAAAAATTGAGAAAATGGGACGTTGTATATTTTGGAAAAAAGCCTTTTGGAGAAGGAAGCTTACTGAATAATGGAGGGAAAAGTTCAGCATAATTGGATTCATGCTCGAGGATGTGACTGCTAAGTTCTTGGAGCTTGAAATGAAGAAAGTGGAATTAAAAATGGGAAGGAAGCTCATCCATACTCAAGTACTTTGTCGTGCCAAAGCATGAGGATGTTATAGATGTAGAGAAGAAGGTTTCTTATTCTTCACCATTTTAGACCCCTCAAAACTCTGAAGTGAAGATTATATAGATTGAGAATGTGGATATTTGTTATTCGCCCATCTTTCAAAGTGGACGTAAATTTTGACATAGACCCCGTGATTATGCAATGGCCACCTTTGTTATGATGTGACGTGTGATAGTTTGTGCTATAATATCATGGCTGCTTAACATTATCAGGCTTGACTTGATTGATGCTGATAAGGTCCAAAGCAAGGCTTGTAATGTGCGTTTGAACACCCAAGAGGCAGCAATGTGGGCATTGAATCCAGGAAAAAGATGGGTGATGCTTATTAGGTGGCAATGGAGGTGGAGGAGAACGAAGCCCATGGGTTCTATTCAAATTTGACGAAATTGGTGGGTTCCGGTCCACGGGTCGAGTTTTGAGAGTCTGGTTTGAGCTTGAATGAGAAGAATGAATCGGCGGTGAAACAGGGGATGATATTTAACATTTCGATTGTGTTTAAAGCCCTAAAAGGTTTGGAGTCACTCCCTCTTGTCCTTGCGATTGGAATTCTGAGGGAGAATGTACCTGAGCTGATGAATATCATTCTTGACAATTGTGAGAATTTCGCCGACATTGTAATTGTGAGCTTGAATGAGAAGCCCATGCATTCTTGATAATATGGGGTTTATTGATTAGTTTTGTTAAGTTCTTTGTGACTTGCACATGGTTTATAACATGTTTAATTTTTTTTCAACATTTTCAAGAGCTTATAAATTAGCATCATTTTAAGTTTTGAATTTCATAACTTGGGGTGGAAATGGATTTTCAAATCGTAATAGAGGTTTGTGGCACTCAAATTGTCTTTTGACCAGTTTTGGAGGCGCCTAACTTTGATTATCCAAGGTTGACACATTGTATAAATATCCTTCGTATAATGTTTCATTTGATAGTGCTCCAAGGCTTTATGATTAGGAAAATTATTTCACGATGGCGGGGACCGTATTTCTACATTTGCGGTCTTTGGGGAATAAAGCATCCATATTAAAGATGGATACAAATAGGTGGTCTATCTATAAACAAAATAATTGAAACTGATAAACAAAACAATTGAAACCGATTATGCAAATGTTTTCTTAATAAAAATTATTTTTTTAATTTTTTTAAAAATTTATTTATTTATTTATATTTATGATCTCCATGTTAGAAATTGCATGTCTTTAGAAATGAGGTCCAAAAATCTATCTCAAAAATAGATTAGATGTTTTTAAAAATTAGCTCAAAAAATCCATCTCAAAAATAAAATTTTAAGAGGCGAATCATTTTTATCCGGACTCATAGAAACTGTGTACTTATTATTATAGAAGGAATACGAAAACCAAGGTTAGGTTGGGTTTAGATTGAGCAAACCTATCCTCAAAGTCTAGTGCTTTGGGTGCCATCCCAGAGTCTGGTGGTTTGAATGAGAAGAATCTAGACTCGTTTGAGTGCTGGTCCGCATGTAGGTCCTCTACTAAGATAGACCCGAGCCAAGGCCATCTCTTTTACACCTCAACCACTTGGTTGTAGTGATTGCAAAATCAAATAGGAATGACTAACTGGACATGGGCTCAGAAGCAGTTTAATCGGTCTAATTGATAAACCAGCTTATTCAACCGTTCTAACCGAATAAGTCCCAGGCAGTCAAAAAATTGTTGACAAAAATAAAAAAATATACAAAAAAAATCTACTAAAATATGAAAAGCATGTAAAGATTGATTAAAACAAAACACATTCAAAAGAAATTGAAGATTAATAAAAAAATAAATTATAAAGAATTGATTTATGCAGAGGGATATTTTAAAATTTTTTCGCAAAAAATGGAAAGCTATAGAAGTGAGTATTAATGACCGCAACATTTTCTAATCTTTACCATAATATAAAGAATATTAAAAAATATATTATAAACAAAATTTTTTATTTTTGAAATTTTATATACATTTATTTTGAACTTTTTTTATTAAAATACCAGTCAATCACCAAAACCGTCAGAACCCGAAACCGGCCAATGGCCAGTTCCAATCTAAATGGGCATATATACCAGTTAGATCACCCGGTTTTTCCAACATAGCTTGGTTGCTAGTAAGTATAATTAGGGGCGCTAATTGGATTAACATATGGGATCGACCTCATCTGGGTCTAGATATTGGACCTGAGGGGTCTGATCCGGTTCTGGGTCTAGGCTACTCCTTACACGGTCGGGGCGGATTTGTTTCAGCATCAACCCAAACCCATTTAAAGCACTAAGTGCGATCCTTCCCGCACTCGATCGAGGAAAAATTACTCTGATGCATGTCAAGCCCTAAGGATCACAGTCACACTTTCTCGCTCTAAACCTTGACGAAGGCACTTCCCTCGCTATTTGAATCTCTCTCTATAAACTATTTGGAGAAAGGGAAAGAAAGGGCGTCAAGGAAGCTACCGGTCCTCCCATTACAGCAAGCCACTGGGTATGGTCCTCATTCTTTCTTTCTTTGCTGCGTGTTCTTCATTCATCAGAACATAAACGATCTTCCCCCTTTTTTTTTTGAGTGCAAAGTGTTGTTAGTCCATGAACACTGTAACTGATGATATTCTTCTAAATCTTCAAAATCATGGCCTTGACAAAAGCCCAATCTTTCTGCAAACCCCAATTTCTCATTTCCCTTGTCAGTCCTCTCTCTCTTCATTCTTATGTTCAACAGTTCTCCACAAAACCCTCTTCTCTCATTAATGATGGAACGGCCTTACCTTCTTCTACTTCTTCTTTCATGGTTAATCTGTTTGTGGACTCTTTTGGGTTCTCAAAGCAAGGAGCCATTGCTGCATCTTCCCAGCTTCTCCATATCAAAACCCCTGAGAAAGCTCTCTCGGTACTAAACTTCCTCAAAGCCAAAGGTTTTGAAGCAATCCATATCCATACAATTATCAGCAAGCGCCCCCATCTTCTTGCAGCCAATGTCGAGAAAAACCTAGCACCCAAATTCAAATTGTTTGAAGATTTGGGCCTTTCTAAATTCGATCTTGGGGCCGTCATCTCTGCACATCCAACCATTGTTATGTATAGCTTAAACAAAAGACTTCTCCCTAACATTCTCTTCCTTAAAAACTACTTGGATCCCAAAGGTTTCTTGAAGCTTCTCAAAGGTCAAGGTCGTAGTTCAGTCTTGGTGTCCAAGAGATTGCAGTCCAATGTTAGGTTCATGGAGAGCCAGGGAATTGGCGGCTCGAAGTTGAGAGCACTCTTATTGAAAAGGACATTCTTATTTGAAGTGAAGTCCATTAGGCTTATAGAAATCACAGAGAAAGTTAAGGAATTGGGTATTGAATCTCACTTTAAAATGTACTCTCATGCTGTTGGGTTCATGAGTTCGATGAGCAAGGAGACATGGCAGAGGAAATTTAAGTTTTTTAAGAGCTTTGGGTGGTCAGAAGAAGATATTCGCACCGCTTTCCAAAAGATGCCTGTAATATTTTGTCTTTCAGAACAGAAGTTGCAAAAGACTATGAATTATTTCATCAACGAACTTAAATATGATGAGAAATATCTGTGTTTTCATCCACTTATATTCTGTTTTAATTTAGAGAGAAGGTTGATCCCAAGGATTAATCTATTGAAAGTGTTGAGGTCAAGAAAGTTGCTGGAAAAGGATGCAAGTTTATTGACAATTTGTGTTTTATCGGAGAAGGTGTTCTTGGAGAGATATGTGTTAAGTTTTGGAGAAGAGGCAGAAAATTTGCTCGATATTTATAAGGGAAACAAAGAAAACTCAAGAAATTGATGCTGAGTCTATGGTCTAAAACAGGCTTAATAGCCATTAAAATCTGAATTCCATGACTCTTATTTTGTTATATCTCTGAAAAAGAAGAACTGAATGTCAAAACTTTCTGTGTTGTGATCCTTGTGATTTTGCCTTGCTTCTCTTTGTTCTGCCTTGTATAATATAGGTTACAAGAGCAGAAAAGCTTGCTAACCTCTACACAGATGCAAAATTAGATGGTGATAATTTTGGGTTTATTCTAACCATGTGATGGATTTGTCTGGAAATTTGCACACATTTTGGCCTCTCTCGCTCGATTATGCTCTCTAAACATGGGAAGTCATTGTCGGATTGCTGAGCTCATTTCTCCTCAAGTTTAGGGTTTTTCTGGGAGGATTTTGCTGGGTTTCTCCAAATGTGGAAGCTCTAGCTAGAAAAGTTGGGATTTTTTTTCCTCCTATTAGGTGGGTTTTAATTCCTGTTTGGAGTTGTGTTCAGTTGGTTAAAGACAAATTAGGGCAAAGAGAAGATTCTTTTGGGGTTTCCTTTGAAGAAAACTCTGGAAAATGTCAGCTTCATTTGCACCTTTTGATCACCCAAGAAATGGAGTGCAGTGTTGTAGGCTCTGAACCCCTGGTTTTCAGTTGTATTCTTCATGTTCTGGATACATGATTCTTAGATTTTTGTCTTCTCTTTTGGGGAATGCAATGCTTATGAATGCTTCGTGGAATATCTTTGTTTTCTTTCTGTTTATGGTTTTGTTTTTGTGGATCTTATAAACTTTCATATGTTTGAAGGAGAGCACTCTTCTTCTCTGTATCCCTTTGCATTTCCTTTGTGGTGGTGGTAGTTCATCTCTGCATCCTTTTGCATTTCCTTTGTGGTGGTAGTTGTTCATCCCTGTTTCCCTTTGCATTTCCTAGTGGTGGTAGTTGTTGAAGGGTTTGCTTTTTTTAAAAAAAAATTTATTGCAAATGTGTTCTTCTATGTTCGACAGCTCACTTCCATGGACTAAGGTGACGAATCAGATGATGGTGAATTCTGGTAAGTAAAACCCAAGTACTAAATTTGACCAGAACTTGGTAGATGTATTCTTGTATGGTTTGATTAAGGGAGAGTTCTTTGATGCAGCTAATGATCTTTGTGGATAAATGGACGAATCAGATGATGGTGAATTCTGGCAAGTAAAACCCAAGTATTAAATTTGACCAGAACTTGGTAGATATGTTCTTGTATGGTTTGATTAAGGGAGAGTTCTTTGATGCAGTTAATGATCTTTGTGGATAAATGGAGGTATAAGCAAGTGGTTATGGAAACCCATGAGAAGCTCAAGTTAAAAAAGCTGAGAAAAAGGAATCATACAGAGGTGGAAGCTTGCACCCCATATGAAGATAAGCTTCTTTTATGGGATGGTATAGCATCCATGTGATGAATGCTTGAACGGTTGAACCTGGTTTCATTCAACAGCCATAAAATAATTCTGTTTTTTTTTTTAAAAAAAAAAATTTATCTTTGTCTAAAATTTTGAAGTATAGATGCTTTTTTATATGGGACATCAAATAAAAATAATAAAAAATAAAAATAATAAAAAATGTTTTAAACAAAAAAATTGACCAGAATATTTCCTATGTTCAAGTTTTTAGTGTTCTATCATCTATGCCCATATAAAGATCATATTTAACTAAAACAAAAAGGAATTATTTTGTGGCCCTTGGATATGGGCTCGTTCAATCTGAAGAGTCCACATTATGTGGATGGGATATTTTCCTTTTGCTTTATAGTGAATTAGTCCCCACCAATTCCCGATTCAGATCTGTGATTCCTGATCTGAATTGCCGTTTTTTGAAACATTGGTTTATAGCGAAGTGAATCCCAAATATTTATTGAGTCCAACCTACCATTTTAATGACAATGACTCCTATTGAGATATTCTCAATGGCAAGTTTTATGTGGGATATTATAGTATTTTTATCAAGAATCTATTTATTAGTTGATCAATGGGACTTCAATATATCTGATTGAAATTTTATTAATTGTAGAGTAATTAAGATTACTAACAAGAATTCAAATTACACACAATTAAAACTATTACTATGTAAAATGATTGAAAATATTGATCATTTCATAATACAGAATCTTTTTTGGATCTCTCTACAATCTCGGCGATGGTTTTCGCATCTTGAAGCTTGAAGTTTAAAGCACCCAAGTATATGGAAATCAGCCATGGCATTCTATGCTGCCTCAGTAAGGAAAACATAGATACTTTCTTCATTGCCAACCCAGCAACTGGCCAATGCTCCCCCACTCCAAAATTTTCTGGTCCTTTATATGTTGATAACTTTGGGTTTTATTTCATCCCTGAAAACTACAATTTCAAGATCTTCGCCCAATTCGTTAATGGCTGAGTTACTGGGGCTCAAAAGGAACCAAATAACCCCAGGCCAACATGCCATCCACCTTATGCTTCGTGGCAGTATCCCCTTGGAGATCAGCATCACACGGCCGCATATGTTACCTCCTTTTTGGAGATATCTTGGCTTTCAACATGGAGACAGAGGAAGTGGATGAAGAAGTGGGAGACTATAAACCAGAACCGACCGCCTACAGGAACATACAACCCTAGACCAGGATGTTGTTGTTTGTATTGCACACGGAAACCATGGTTCGAAAGCTGGGTTTTGGGTCCAACCCAAGAAAATAAGTGGGTGGAAGCACACCACATTGCAGATATGTGTGACAAAATGAGCAACCACGGGTATCCACAACTTTTGGCAGGTGAGGTGCTCATTTTCACCAAAAGTGGCATTACATTAACATGTGATAAGGGTGGCAAATTGAGTGTACTAGATGAAGCTTATTGTTCTAACTTGTACATTACAATCCCACTCTGTATTCTCGGGAGTATGGTGACAGAGGAGGACAAGTTCACAGCTCTTTAAGAACTAGGAAAAGAGGGAGGTATACTTGCTGATAACACATGATGAGAGTTATCATGATGAGAGATTTGTGGAGGAGATAGATTGTATGAAGGGAGATTTACTGGCATGAGGAATTATATTAAATGCTAACCAAAGAAATTCATAATACAACCGAGGAATAAATGGTCTAATTATATTTTT